CTTATAGCATAGCTCAATGTCCCTAAAACAGTTGCCCTCCAGACAGAAGTGCCCACAGGAGAAAAGGAGGTAAAAAAGTAAAAATGGTGGCCACAACCACACCATCAAAGCTCCATTCCTTTTAATGTGCATCTTCCAATGACACACATCAAAAAGTTGGCAGAGCATCAACTGCACAGTGACAGCTACCATCTTGACCTTTTTTAAGCCATCCTGCCAACATTCCTGGCTCCAGATGAAGGTTGTCTTTGCTGACTTCTCACTGTCACTTATCTCCTGGTTTTGCAGGAATGAAAGCAGAGATAAGAGAGGAAGCAAGGTTGACAGGACTGAGTTCTCAGTGAAGCAATGTGGTTCTAAAAATTATAGTCTGATGTCTGCCACCCACAGGGCCAACAGAATTAAGTAGCACTTAAATAGAATTAAGTATCATTTGGGGTGGGAAATAACACTTCCAATGCTTTTCATGGAGGGAAAGAGAAAAGTTTGTAGGTAAAGGTATTAATCTTCTCTTCTGAAATACTGTTTTTTAAATGTAGAAAAAGTGTTTTTTTCCCTTCCTTTTTTTCAAGTGGGATAGAAGAGCCTTCAGATCTAGGAAAATATTTTATGTAAACTAAACTGGCTCTCATTTACTGACACAGACTGAACCCCTGATAGGTTGACCTACCTTTCCCAACTCCAGTCAATACCTAGAGCTGAGCTCTGTGTGATACAGAATGAAAAGGCAATGGGCATATGACTTTGTACTTTTAGAGTGAAGGAGGACGGAGTGATACTTCAACTGTGTTTTCCACAGTTGCCACTAGAACAGTAAAAGGGTGATTTTTCTCCTCAGCATCCCCATTCACGCATATCAAAGAAAAAAATGAAAGCAAGAATGGACAGGGTTTGGGGCTGCATCTTTTGGGAGGACAACTGGGGGAAGTGCTGAGGCCATAGCGGAAGGGGCAATGAAGCAAGGCGAACAGGGCACATCATTGAACTGGGTGCGGCTGTGTTTTTCAAGCTGATTAAATATTTTAAACCTAGGATAAGGCTCAGTTACATTACTCTTTCCTATCAAGCAACAGCAGAAAACAATTATCCCAATTATTAGTGGGAAACTGCCACATGTTGTGGCCTGGCCAGCAGGGGGCTCCTGGGAGGTCCCAAGTGTTCCCCATTCTGGCTTCATGGAACTGAACCTAACTTCAATCTGAAACAATTCAGTCTAGAATTCTAGTCCCATGTTCTAGGTAATGTGCAAGGGTTCTAGGTACAAACACCACAGAAAAGCTTTACATTTAATTTTGTGCTTGTAGTAAGAGGAAGACAGAAGTTTTGTCATCCAATGGGTGATTTCTTATCCAAAGACAAGAGATCTGTATTGCTCATTCACTCTGCTGCCCATTTGGTGAAATACAGCATAGTATTGTTCATGTAGTCTGACTGAATCTTTGGGGGTGAGAACTAAGCAGACTTTCTTGGACTCACTGCTGATGGACACATTTAGTAGATATACAGACATGAGAAATTGTCAGGAAGTAAAGCCATTCAAACTCTGTATCTGCCCTTTTTTTAAAAAAAATGTTGCTAATCTACTTAATGCATTGTGCCTCCATCTCTCAATATTTTATACAATATAGTACAAGGAGAGGAAATAAAAGGAAGGTCCATACTTGTGATTAGGATAAAATCAGAGAAGACTGCTATTTTAATTCAGATGGATTTGCTCCATCAGTTTTCTATCTAGTGTGTCTGAAAGCAATTAGGGGAATTTTAAAAATAAATAAATAAAGGGGGGGGGAGTATTTTCTTCCTTCTCACCATTGCGATCCATGCAATGAATCTTCTTTTCCATATGCTGCAAGGTTATCATAATCCTATGCACAAATAAATGAACACATAAATTGGATGGAATGAATAGTGGGGAAAAATATTTATTTAAATACCTCTACTTAGGCATGGCCCTATTACCCATTAACTGAAGGTGAAGGGGATGTTCCTGTGACTTGGTTTTATTTTTAACTACTTTGAATCTTTAATGTCATTTGTTTTTAAAAAATCAGAAAGAAAGCCCAGATTGTCCTATGGAAGGTTCTATAGACAAAACTTCTATTGATTTCTGAAGGATCTGGAACCCAGGTAAATCTACAGAACACAACGTGTCCTGTAAACTGTGGACACACAGTTTGCATTAGGAAAACAGAAATAAGGATGTTGAAATCGGGATGAATCAGGATGAAAAGCAGTGTTGAAAAGTGCCCTGTTCTAACAGTGGTGCCAGGAGCCAAGAAGGAAGACAAATTGCACTGAAGCCAAAGTCTGGTTTATGAGGCTCCAGTGTTTAGTATGCTTTGAAGGTTGCCTAACCACACTTATTTACAGTGGTGGTCCAGAGGGTTGGACAGGACCCAAGAGAAGGATGTCTCAGTTCCATAACTTGAAGGCACATACATTATGCCCTGGGTGGCCCAGAAAAAGACACCATCTATAACGATCTTCAAACACACCTGGAAGGCAACAGCTTAAATTTATAATAATTATTGTGGAATATAAGTTTTGGGAAGGTTGATCTAGAAACTTCCATCCTAAGCATATTAATTTGGAAAGAAGCAAGTCAGTTCGTTTCAAATAGAGTTTAACTGCCTAGTAAGTATGGTTAGATGGCCAACCCTAAACTCCATGTTCTATCTGTGAAATGGAAACAGTCTGTAAGAATGCAGGAAATCAATACTCTATTGTGTTTGTAAAACACTTTCCACAATCAAAGGAATTAATATTGATACTCTATGATTTTGATCTGGGAGTAAGTCCTATTGAACAAAATAAGACCTATTCCTCATGGATCAGGCTGTACAAAAAAAGTATGTATATAATTAAAGCCTCTCTAATCTTGGGAGTAACAGAAACAGTGCTTAAAGAGTGTTAGCTGTTGCTGCTGCTGCTCTCTATTACATACAAGGAACTCCTTTTCCTCACTAATTTACAACTGAATTTTCACACATCGGATGGCTTCACGCACCTGGCAGATCTATGAGTGAACTCACAACTGGCTGAGTTCATATGTCATACAGAGCTGTAAATCATGATTTTCAAATCCCAGATGGCTGGGTTCACAGAACACATTAAGTCACAAACAAAACCAGCCTGAGGCTTAACACAACATGCAAATGAAGCCGTTATATGACAGAAGTACATATAATAGCAGCCTCATCAGTGATTGAATTAATAAAAAGAGGAAATTGCTGGTTTTCTATTACCTCCCGAAGTCTGGCTTCATGTTTCATGACGAAATGGTCTGCTCTGACAAGAAGGCTAGCTACTAGTCTGCAAACTAAAGATGAAGTTCAAAAGATCGCTGCCAGTAAGGAAGGGTGACCTTGGGCTGGATCAGCCTCAGCTGGACTGGCTGTGTTCCCCACCCACAGATGTTGAAGAAGACCCATCCAGGAAGGGATCACAACCCCTCTCTGCTAATGTGTGCCACCACTCCGGTCCTCCGCAGGCGTGTTTGGAAGCAAAGCCACTTCCACTCTCAAATGGATTGGGTTTCTGAATGAAGACGCCAATCCGGGGACGGCGTCCTTGAGAAAGACGACCTGGCCTATGAGAGCCATTTACTCTCGAATAGTGACCCTGCTGTTTCAAGAGAAGCTCGTAGAGCTAGTGATACAGGCCTCCAGAAGGCGGAGAAGATGCAGCTTGTAATCTTCCTGCCCGCATCCTGTCCCTTGGACTCTTTTTCTCTCTCTCAGCCCTCCTTCTTTAAATGCCATTTACAGCGAAGAGTATCTTTCTTGCGGGCGGGGGCAGAAAGCGAAGGCAACCCGAGGCGACCCTCCAGTTCCTCCTCCTCCCCTCCTCCTCCCCTCAGCAAAACAAGATCCCGCGCGCTCTGCAACCATTTGCACTCCCAGGACGCCGAGTTTTTCCTCGGACCTTCCCCGCTCTTGTCTCGCTCTCTCACACGAGCACACTTTC